TGCCACCCTTTGGCACCGCAGCACCCCGGCAACGCCAGCTCCGAGCCCCGCCACCCCGAGAGACCCCCCATGTGGAGCCACGTGAAATTCCACAAAGGGAATTCCCACCAAGGAAATAACTCCGGTTTGCTTTAATCGCACATGCACTGTTCTTGCTGGTTGTTCAGGAACCGAGGGTTTGGGGTGAAAAAGCACACCGTGCTCATGCACAAACATGGTGTTAGCTGACATGTGCGTTGCCAAGGCACTTCCCAGCAAGTGGAAAAAACACGGAATAAACATAGGAAAGGGACGCTGCAGAGCTGTCAGTGGTGATCCCGCTCATCTGTTAACACAAATCAGGCAAATCCACTTATCTCCTCATAGTGACCATAAATATTCCTCACCACCCTCTTGGACACAAGGAGACAACAATTACTCTGATTTATTGGCTCAGATTCAGCCAAAACGGAGCACTCAGCCTAAAAAGTCACCACCTGGGGCTAGAGCCAGTCTCTGGGCCAGGCCCAGCCTGCACTGCGGATCCACCCTGTGTTTCTGTGCATTGATTCCATTTCTGCACTGCTCAGCAGGGATCAGAGTCGCCCTAAAACCCTCTTCTTACATCATTATGTTGGTCTTGCTGAGGGCTGGAGCTGCTCCTTTGAACATGAAAGCGGTTACTGTCCTGTCTTGATTTTTCCCTCATTCTATCAGTTTATTCTTCTTTTTATGCTGTCATTATCACTCTGTCCCTGATCTATCTTCAGCCCTCTGTTCTCTGTCTTCTATGTTACAGATTCCTAGTGACAGAAGGGATCAACCACTGGTATTATTAAACTTCTGGACTGTGTCAGGCCATAAAAAGTAGTTGTGTTTCCCCCCCTCCCCTAAATCTAGTTTGGTTATCTCCAGCAGAGAGTTCAGCAGATGCACAGCAGGACTGGCATTCCTCTTCCCCTGGAAGAAAATCCATCGTTGTACTACGCAAGTGCAGTGCAGCAGAAGCATGGCTGACAGGGGGCTGCTCACAACCCAGCTCCAGCTCTAAGTACCCTTCTGGCAAACCCCTCTTGCTGCTCCAGGTTTCCTGCTGGTGTCACATCTCCCCTGCCCTGGTCACACTATGGGTATCATCACATGTGCTGTGACCAACGCCCCTGGAATGTGACCAAGCCTTACAGCCTGCCTGCCAATTCTGTCAGCTCCAGGAACCCCGTTAGTGCCTTAGCACCAGGCAACAAAGCCTTCACCCTCCACGTACGAACCTTTTCCATAGGCAAAGTACATTGCTCTGATCCAGCACTGCCAGACCATAAACCAACAGGCACATCCCACATGGAAGGAGCCCATTTCTCCATTCCTGGCAGGCCAGGGTTTCAGGGAAGGGACTCTGGGAAACAGCAGTGTGGTTCACAGCAATACAGCATGTGGGTAAAAGCACATCACCTCCTCTAAACCCAAGAGCACTCAAGGGCCAGAGCAAAAACTGAGAACAACTTTGGAAAGATGCACGCAACTCAGGGCACACAAACTACTACAAATCACAACCATACTCATTCGCTGCTTTACTACGAAGCAGAGAAAGCTACACCACTAACAGGAAGAGAGAGGAGCGTGTGTGTGATGTTAGTTGTCTGCTTACTAGCTACTTGATCTTTGTTAAGAGGTCCATTTGGCAGCTATGCTTTCCACTCTTTCAAGGCTTTTTTTGTTTGATGATTTACATCAAAAAGTTTTTCTCCATAAGTTAGAGCTTTGATTTCTTTGGAGTGGATTATTTACAATAGGTAGTGCTGAATACTCAGAGCATCTAGAAACTCTGAATAGTCCCAGGCATGGCTAGGTGGTTGTTAAATACTATATTCCTTAGACAGCACTTCTACTCCATGGCTGCAGATGTCCAGTTCAGGATTTCATTCATTCTCTATAATCTGTACAACAATGTTAGTCACCCATGAGACTCTGCAACGCTCTGCTGTATCTGCCCCTTGCCACAGGATACCTGAGCGAAGAGCATCAGGGCACACAGAGCTCCAAATCCCCACATGGATGGCCAGTTATGATCCCATTCTGCAGCTACAATTAGGAACACCTCCCAATCCTCTGAGCTGGAATGAAACATGACATCAGGTTGTAAGTAAGTTTTACTAAAAATATTTGAATCAGGTACTGCAAAGTTGGATGTATTTACAACAGCTGCTGAAATATCCAGCATTGAGCAATCCACCCAGGCACGGTTACAAACCACAAAGAGGGAAACAGCTTTTAGACATCCTGCATGTGTTACACAAAGAAGCAAATCCACCTCATAGTCACTCCTAAGATCTGCCATCAGAACAGGCTGCTCCGGTAAATCAACTGGGCATAAGAGAGGAAGTTACTTCTGGTCTCAGCTCAGCAAAAACCAACATGAGAAAGACGTGCACACTTACGGTCAGGACACCGGGGACAGAACGGCAGTAACGGCACTCAGCTTTCCACTGGGATTTAAGGAGTCACTGGGGTTGTGGTCCTGTCTGTAAGAGGCATCACTGCACAGACTGCTTCAGAGTGAAAGGGTTGAAGACAGCTGCTGACAATGCAGAGACAAGTGAACCTAGGTTTGATCTTTTTCAGCACTGAAGTGCAAGTCATCCTAGTGGATAAACCAAAATGATGGTTCTCCAGCAGAGCACCCTGTAACTTCACCAGTTTACTCTTAACATCCCAAGGGCCTTTGGAAGATAATAGTGATTGCGACCAGAATATGTGAACCTCCTGCTTTTAGCTGGATTATACAAAACCCAGGACATACTGGTGCAGTGTTACAATCCTAAAAGCGTCTTTGCCTCCTGACTCTGTGCCATGAGGGTTTCACTGGCATACTTCTGAAGCAGCTCCATCTTCTTTCTCCGTACAAGAGCTTCCTCAATCTGCAAATGTAAGAACAGGACGACATTCTGCTTAACTGAGGCACCAAAACCTAGCACACTTAGCTATTAAGACAGGAAGAAGAAAACCACAGGAAACAGACCAGGAAAGTTAGAGTGTAATTCTAGTGTTAAAGCAGTTGCATTAGGATGAGTCAGAAGTATCTTTTCTAATACTCAACTAAAGCTCACGGAAGTTGAAAGATGCAGTAAAATCTACACTTTCATCTCAGCTCTATGCTTCTACTGTTTTCAACTAGGAGTTCAGCTCCATTTCATTTTACTCAGTACAGTCACTTGAGCTTAGTTTCAAAGAACTGTCTCAGATACAGCTTTAACAAGTGCAGAACACGTGGAGTCACAACACAGGAGTCTGCGCTCCTGGAATAACAGTTCAGCAAGTGCCTTTCACAGCAGCAACAGCTACAAACTTCCAATCTAAAGTTTGATGGAAGTGCCAGCAATACACAGCTCATTAACAAGCATGTACTTCAAAGATCCAATAACAGCAACCTGCAAGAATTGTTTTTATCTCAGCAATGGTTTTATACTTCTAGAATCCCAGACTGGTTTGGGTTGAAGGATCCAGTCCCAACCCCTGCCATGGGCAGGGACACCTTCCACTACAGCAGGTTGCTCCAAGCTCCTGTGTCCAACCTGGCCTTGAACACTGCCAGGGATGGGGCAGCCACAGCTTCTCTGGGCACCCTGTGCCAGTGCTGCACACAGCATCTCCCAAAAGCAAGTGTTCTGGACCTTAGCTTTTTGTAATTGAGAACCGAGAAGGCATCTATAGGCATAAGGTATGGAACGATTTGCCACTGAAAGAAGAGCAAAGGTTACACTGAGTACTGCCTGATTAGAAAAGATTGCTGTGTAAAGCAGTGGTTATGAATCAGCCAGTTCTGATGGTCAGTTACGCTCTCTTCATCAAGAGAATACCATCAGCCAGAGAGCAATGGTTTTAATCATCACTTCCCTCCTGCAGTTTTGACAAGCCACTGAATGTGTACTTTGGTGAATGTGCAGGATCATGACTCCAAAGGAGAATACAGGATGGTTTTCTGACAAGACAGCAGCAGAGGACAAACCCCACATGCTGTCTGAGGTGCAGGCATACCTCCCAACAGATACCTTCTTGCCTGAGCTGTATTTCAAACATCCTGCCCCAGGGAAGGTGATATACACCCTAGAGCAGTTTCAAAATATTGAAGGTCATGCCAGCAAAATAACTTTAGAAAACTTATGAGAGCAAACCCTGGAGTTCAGACATCATCCCACGAGGTTAATGGGAAAAGTCAGACCATCAGCAGAAAAGGACACTAAAGACAGAGTGGGCAGTCAGGGTTTTCTTGATTGTAACACCACACTTTCCAGTCTATGTAATACTTGTGATGGTTTTGGAAATGCTCATGTGGAAAGGGTTATAGCAACAGTACCAAAATTCTGGCTAGTTCCACAGCATTTGCAAGAGGATTAAAGAGAAGTAACAAATAGAGGACATTTTATTGATGATCTGCTGTAAGTCAAGATCTCAGTCTTGCAGGAGCCCAAATGCATCTCTGCAAGGTAGTATTGTAACATCTTACCTCCTGCTGAGATGGCACTGGAACATGCGCAATGAATTTCTGTTGGCCCTCTTCACCTTCTTTTTCCTTGCCACCTTCCTCATCAGACTGACAAAATCAAATGAAAAAATTAAGCCACATCAAATTTACTTTCCAAAGAGGTCATCAAAAAAAAGCCTTTTTTACTTGCTTTGCCAGAAGGAACCAGACACCATGGTTTGTGATCAACACCACAAACACAACAAGCAGGTGAGCAGGACCGAACAACAAGGGAACATGATGAGCATCATGGTCAGATCCTGCTCCTTCACACTTTCAGAGTTACTGCTTTCGTTCTTCATATATGGTTTTTGTTCTGCTGTGGCATGGCCATGAATGTACAGCTATATCCTCTCCTCTTCCATCCCTCTCTGGCTGCCATAGCAAAGCTATCAACAAAAGAGCAGCCAGCTAACTAAGAAGAAAGCAAATGCTCTGAAGAAAGCTACGTACCACTCCCCTGCACAGCTCTGTACTGCTTTGTTCTCACACTCGAGTGCTGGACTTACCAGTCATGAGATATACTACAAATAAAGCAGGACACTGAAGGAACCACCAGTTTCACCTGGTGGACTATCTCCTTTTTGTTCTTGTGATAAACCCACTGAGGTATGGACTGTAAAATAAGAACTAGTTTCCAGTAGCCCTTTTGTGGATCTTGGAGGGCAGCATCAACATCTCTCACTTCTCCTACTGGTGCTGGGAGCAGGGAGAATAAACAAACAAGAGCCATGTCACAGGAGTGACTGCAGCACCAGCAAAGCCTTGCTGCATCATGATTCAGCTAGAAACAAGACCCTGGCAGCCCCTGGGTTTGTTACCCATCGACAGTGTGAAATTCTACTGGATACAAAACTACTCCTGCTGCCACTGATGTACACTGTACTCAGAACTCAGACTGATCAGTGTTAACTACACACTACCTTACAGATGCCACGTTTCAGACAGTGACAGTTAAACCTCACAAGCTCTCAACTGTCAGTTGTTTCCCACTCGAGTAAAAAGTCTTCCCTAGCTGCCAGTTCTCTAAACACGGACCAGTGTGCTCATTTACTACTGATTTTCACTGAACAGGGACAACTGTAGAGTAACTTAGGCAAGGAGAAGGGCAGAATGCAGCAACAGGCAGGTTCTCAGAAAAACAACTCAACGTCCAAGAAGGCAGTGTAGAAGAGTTGAAATATCACACAGCCATCACGTACCTCATCATTGGTGACAGCATAGATGTTTTCTTCCTCCTCCTCCTCACCTCTTGCAAGTCGTGCTTCTCTCTCCATTTTCCATTTTTCCACTGCTTCTGCTATAACTGGTTAGCAAAGGAAAATGGCAAGTGTATCTGAGAGCACGTTAAAGCAGCACGGTCCTAATTCCAAAGCTTTTACAACAGACTTAACTTCTTGTGTAAATCCTCTACATCGGCCATGCACACTCACTACAGAACCTTGATGCAGTATCTAATAAAATACATCAATACAGACTGAGCAAAACCCAGTGCTGGCACTGCGGAAGCATGGTACCTGCTAGTGCCTTAATTTGGGTACATTTTAGACCTCTAAATGTCATGGATAAATATCAACCTACTTTCTGAACTGAGCAACAGGGGTCACACTTGAGCCTAAGTGGCTCTTCACGTGTCAACAGCTATAGGAAAGCTGATCACTGTGTAATTAAACACAATTATGCTCCTGACAGTGACCACCCACTTTCTTTTCACCTCACAGTGTATTTCTCCTATTCTGTAGCACAATCCCAGTTCTGTAACTTACTGCTACCTCAGAGCTATTAGGCTGCTGTATCTCCACTACACAGCAGAGTCCTAGCAGGAGCACTAAAACAAGATTTAAGCATCTTAATCAGTGACCACACCAGTGTATAAATATCCTGGGGAGGTGCAAGATTAATGCAACTGGGCAGTAGGAAACGCCTGCAGCAGTCATTCCCCTAGCTCTCTAAGATTAAACACTAAAACGTGCTTACTGAGAAGCAAGATGTAACTAACTAGTGGCACGTGCTGCGTTTCATGTGGGTTTGTAACAGAAAAGGTACCTCAGCACTTTGTTTCACAAAAACATAACTCTTCTGTTAACAAGGTAAAAACCACGAGAGCCCAGAAAACAAGTGACCCTAAGAGCATCCCTGCTGTTATGCATCACTAGTACATGACTTGTACGTTACTACTAGTGCACCAGTGGCTCTGTTAGCATCTCCAGCCTGGTTATTTCAAGTGGCACAATCACCAAAGAAGTTAGTTTTCTTAAATAACCACATGACTCCAGAGGAGTTACTTCTCCTGCCTCCAGTCAGCAAGATGTGCAAGAACAGTGAGTGAGGCTTGTTCTAGGGGTGCTGCACCACACAACTTCCCTTCTTACCTACCAACTGTCTGCCAGCCACCTACTGCTCACTTGCTTTAAGGCTCCAGGCTATGCTGCAGGACAGAAATAAGTGTCCTACAGTATTTCCTTTATTCCTCCTATTCCTCCCTGTCTTACAATCTAACTGACAAGGCGTGATCTCTAACACACAATGCTATGAAGGTATCACACATGGAGAAGGCACAAATCTAAGAAGTGGATGACAGTACTAACAGTTACAACCCCAACAACTTGTAATTGTTTAGGCAAGTACTTCCTGCAGTGATGTTTCAAGTTTTTCTCTCTACTTCCCGACAGACAATTGTCTCACAAAAAAGCACCATTCAAACAAAACCTGATTGTTTTATCTGCCACGTTCTGTGAAGAGCCTGCCAGGGGTTCCTACACCACCACATTTCCAACAGGGCACTGAGGATCTGCTGCAGAGGAAGCGATTATAAAACAGATACACATGCAGACAGCAACCCATTGCCAGGATCAGACAATGCTCTTAAAGGTGGTGCACAGCCTCTTGCTTAAAGCTACACAAATAGCAAGTAGATGTCACACAGTGCTGAATTTTAAAGAGGGTTTCAGGTATTAGACTCATAATCCTGTTGTCTTTACTGGGCAAGTCAGTAGAAACACAGCTAGAGAACTGAGTGAGCAGAGACATGGATAAACACTATCTGCTGAGGAAGTATGGGTTTCAAAGGAAGAAACAGTCACAAATGCATTCATGTGGCTAAATTAACATAGGCCACCTGGGCTTCAGGGTTTCCAGAAGGTCCCCTCTAATCTCCAAAGAGAACTAGACAGCTATGCTTACGGATAAATAATGAGGTGAGACAGGAAACAGATGGTATGGCCAGTTTTCACAAAGGAGGGAGGAGATAACCCTCAAGTTCCATCAATCTCCCTGCTGCAACCTACTCTTTTACGTTCTTAAGCATGAAAAAGGTGGGGGGAAAAAGATTCTGCTTCATAGTAAGTCACTTGCTGACAGTATTAAATCATTAACAGTAGTAAAGATGACTCTAAAGCCAACTCTAAAGCACACTGCCTCACCCCTGAAATGCCTTACACAACAGTGATTTGGATACCTGTGTGAAGCTGAACCCTGACAGCTAAGCACAAGACAACACCTGCAGGGCAAGAAAAGGTGTCTTAGGTTCTGAGCCCACCATGACCCCTTCTTGGGCCGATTTATGCAGGTTTTGAATTTCACATACCTTTCTTTTCATGTTCTTGTTCCAGTGGCTCCAGAATACCATCATCTTCATCCCTGTAGCCATAGTACTCTGCATCAATGGACTTCATGAGCTCAGCTCGGGTTTTCCGAGGCGGAGGCAGGGCTGAAAGAACAGTTGTCACTCGTGCAGGCCCATCCTGACAGCTTGCTGTGCATTCCCAGTCCCCACCAGCCTCACAGCAACTCCAGCTACCCTGCCCAAGCTAACAACCAGTGTGTGAGCCCAGCTGCTCTCAGTGTCGGGGGCACTGGCATTTTCCTGCACAGTTCCCATCCTGTGGCACTTCTACGTTGCTGAACTGGAGTCCCAGCACTGAGCAAGACTATATGAAAGGCACTAAAAACCTGTCCCAAGATCCCCCAGATCATGAAGTACTTGCCACAGTTTTTCTCTGCAGAGGGCAAGTAAGGAAGAGCTGATTCAGCAGCACTGCCTCTCTTTCAGGTCCACAGAATTCCCGCTCCTTCTATGACAAATCTACATATAAAGTTGTATCCACTTACATCTATTTATGGGCCAGAATACACTGCTACGAGCATTCCCCACAGAACTACACAGACATTTTACTCAAGAGATACTACTACATAGATTCACATCCAGGAAGAGTTGCTATTTACTTACGTTCCTTTTCAAAAAGTTCTCTAACTCCTGGTAAATCCTTTGCAGCTCCAAAGTATTTGTAACCTCTGTTTCCTGGAACTTCTTTCCCTTCATGATCCAACATTTTCGGCCCAATCCGCTGGAAAATAGAGTTCATGGTTTAAAATCTTATTGCACATGTGTCTTGTATTTCCTGTGTTCCCAGGCATCTTGATGGATTGAAGGATTGGGAAAGGAGATAATGTTGTACCAGTTCAAACTACCCCACATGTAAAACACCCTAATCGCTCGTTTCTATACAGGTTTTACTGCAAATCCCACATTTACAATAGAAACCAATGCGCACTTACAGCATAGTCAGGGCCTCCCAACTCCTTTATTCTGAATTCCCAGTGCCCTTTCTCCCTCAGAAGTTTGTTTATTTCATCATTCAGGTCCCGGATTCTGAATTCCCCCAAGCCAGCTGTTAGAGGGGGAAAAGGCAATGAATTAGGCAGCTTACCAGAAGCACCAGAGTCATTCCAGAACTTGTGCAATGGGAACAGTGTAGTTGACAGAAAATGGGATTTTTTACTGTAACTGATTAGGATTGGGGATTCAAAAAAATCAAATGTAATGAGGGAAGCCTTACCATTTTGAATCTGTGCCACTTTCTTGGAAATTTCCCCAATGATCTGGGCGGACAAGAATACAGAAGTGAATTTCTCAAACAAACAAGCTAGAAAAAGCTGAAAAAAACCCTACAAAGGTCAAACTTCTAAGTTGTCTCTGATCTAGGAAACGGACCTGAGCTTATCAATTCCAACACCAACATAGATTCCATTCAAGCACAAATGTAGTATCTCAGAAGCTTTTTACACTTTTACAGCTGTACACGTGAGGGCAGGAGGTGTGATGAACAGAGAAAGGCTGAGAGAAGTGGGTGTGAGCTGCCTTAAGAGAAGGCAAAAAGGGAACAACTTGTTGCTGCCTTCAACAACCTAACAGAGAGTATAGCAAAGACTGAACCAGGCTGTCTGAGAGCTGCGCAACAACAGGACAAGAAGCAACAAACACAAGTTGGAAGGGGGGAAACATTAAATTCAAGGGAAAAAACAAGGTCATTAAGAAGGTAACCAAACACTGGAACAGGGCCCCAAAAAGCTGTGGGATCCAAATCCTGAAGATACTCAAAACTCAGCTGGACACAGCCCTGGGCAGCTTGATGTGGTACAACCTGCTCTGAACACTGTGGAGAACTGTATGATCTTCCAGTCTAAGTCCCTGTGATTTAACTGTCAGCACACTGACGAAGCCTGAACCAATCTGTCACAGTGGGAAGTGCTGAAGTTCTACCTGTTAGAGAGTTACAAAAACCCACAGCTTGACATTACCTGTCGCCTCCACTTCTCAGCTTTAGGCAGTTCATTACACTCCGAAGCAAGGAAAGGTCTTCGTTCCTGTTTGACAGAAATCCACACACCAGGAAGCTTTAACCCAGCATCAACACACTGACAGCATTTCATGCAAACTTCATTGCTTGATTAATCCCAAACTGTGCTACCAAGCTCCAGTGCTGCTGCTCCCACCCATTCTTAGTAAGTGGAAAATGACAATTCACAGCCCTGACAAATTAACCACAGAATACACAAAACAAAATCTATCACTTGCTTTTTCAGAACACCTCACAATCCTCTCCAAGACAAATAATGTTCCACTTAGGACATACAAACTAGTACTTCATCCTACCTCTAGGATTCTGCGTGCAGTTCTTTTGTTGCTTTCCGTACTGTACTTCCACAGCTCTACCCCTCACATATTACAAAGCCTTCCTTCAGACAATGGACCAGAAATTCTGCTCCATCTTTCTCTCTGGCTGTTTTTGATGGAATCTCTTGCACTATAGTTTCCCTAAACTGTTCTTTTCCACTTTCCTGTCTCATATTGCTCGTGCTCATGTGTGAAGACACCTCAGTCAGATTCCAGAGTTCCACTGTCAGTTACCCAAAGCCAAAAACTAGAAACCTGCCAAAAGAAGAGTTACTGAGAACACTCTGATCCCCATAGCAATATTCTTGCATAAGATTCAGTGAAAAATGCAAAGGAATACCCAGGGATGGTTGAGAATCCACCCCTGGGGGTCTGTATGGGTTTAGGGGTGCTATTTTTTCACTGTGTTGGTGGGGTTTTTAAATGTCAAAGTTGCAAAGTCCATTTTTTTGGCAGCCTTACACCAAGCACGAAAGCCATGTGAACATGGCATGAGGTGTGCAGCCAGTTCCAACAGACACACAGCTATCATGTGCTGGGGTAACACACGCCAATGTTACATCTCATGCACACCCCCAGTTCACAGCTTTGTGGTTGCTGTTGTCAGAATGTTACCAATGAAGAAGATCATGAGAAGGATTCCTCTGCCTCTCCTGGATGAAATCCAAACAAAGCCTGGGATTACTGCTGTAAAACTAAGGGTGTGTGCATCAACTTGCACAAGTAGTTGCAAAAGGAGGTAACCTGAGGCTCAAAAGTGATTTTCACTTTCTGCCCAGCACTCTGCCTGTGCTGGCAGCACTACTGGAGCCTGGGGCTTCCTTCAAACTATTGCAGATTCTACCTACACTACATCAAGAAAATGGGCATCCAGTGCTGTTCAGCTGGCACTTTCCTTTCGGCAGCCGACACGTTCACATGCAGAAACTCTCAACCAGGTTATTTCGTTCAGGAAATTCTATTTACCATTTCCTGAGTCACTGTGAAACACGGTCTATGCTTCAGGTGCCTCCCAGACTCTCCTGTCAAAGTCCTCTAGGACGCCCCTTCCTGCCTGGGTCTGACCCGGCCGCAGCCGCACAGCTCCCTGCATGGCTCACGCTCCCCTCTTGCCCAGAGCTTTAGGCTTTTACACCATACCTTAACTTTCCCTTCCTCAAGCTGAGCTTGGCGAAACCTTGCCAAGGCCGTCCTAAAGGAAAGAAAAGAAACAGGTTTACTTCTACAGATGGACATTCCACCGGGAACAAGTTTGGCTTGAACACACTCACTGACTGGCTCTTCTGTGCTGGAATCCTCAGTGGTTCATTTCTTAGACAAGCACAGATCTTGCTAAGCAACTAATCTTTTTTTTCTGGTTAGCACATGGCAGCATGTTAGATTATTAGCAGCAAAAGCAGCATCAACAAGCTACAAGCATTAACTTTATGTGCCTCAGCAGGGGATACATCAAAAAGCAAAGAAACATTCCAACCCTAACCATTCTGATTCTGTGATTCCAGTGTGTCAGACAGCTGTGGCGTGGCCTCTTCAGCCTCTCCCTGAGTTACTATTACAAGCTCGGTAAGTATTTTAGGGAAAAGAACAAATACGAGACAAATTCATTAAAGAGTCTCTAACGCAGCAGTTCTAAACACGTGCTCTGCAAACCTTCTGGAGAAGTACTCAGCAAAGTCAATAGAAAAACAAGTAGGTTAAAACCTCCCAAGTTTAGCCTGAGAAGCTGCCAAGCAAGATTTATACAATCCCAGACTGGTTTGGGTTGAAAGGACCT